GCCGGATCCCCAAACGCAACTCAGCTTCTGATTGGTGAACACCCACTTATTGAAATTCAACCAACCAAATTAATCTTGATTTCTTAAAGCTGGACGGTCTGAATGAAATGCTCAGGTTTAGATTTATTGTTGCACAATTAATAATTACATTGCGATCTATTTCCCAAACTGCATGTTTCCAATTCTATCTCTAGAACTGAAAGTTGCTAGTAGCCTTGTTTGACAGCATTGTAGCATATGTGACAGGAGAAATAAAAGGAGAAATATAACCAAAGCATTCAGTGTGGCACATTGTCCTGACGAATATGGTTCAGTTTACAATTCATCCATGATTTTTCTATTCCAGTTTTTCATGACCAACTAGCTGTCAATTCTCACGAAAATAAGACTGAATTATTTACACATTCCCTGATCTAATTAAACAGTGTGCATTACTGTGTTGGTATAGACGTTAAAATTAATTTAGTTTCCAGAAATCCATGAAACCATTTTGTTGTAGTGTTGTTTGACCTGAAATAAACTTCATTCTCTGTGTGCCGCACCCATTAACCAATGGAAAAAAAGTTCTCATTTCGAACAGTAAAACATGACTGTTTAGAATTAAATGCTCAACCATCCAATCCTCTGAACATGTCTTTCACTCTGGTCCAACTTAAATTGTTTGTTATCTTCAATGTCTTCTATTGCTTTCAATATTATAAACGCAAGCATAGACGTGCCTGTATTTTCTAAAAACTGAAGTACACACGTTGTTCTTTCAGCTGTTCAAAAACACTCAATCACAGAGGCCTACAAAGATCAGGCGCACATTTCTAGTTGTAAGGCAGGAAAACATATTTTGATCAGTGCTAAATACAACGTTGTAGAATTTGTCATGGCAAAAAAAAAAGCATAATACCAGCATATTAACTAGGCATGGCTGGAAGCTATTAACTTCGAAATCCATCCATATTTTCTGGTTGTGATGTTGCTATCTTTTTGATATGGCCTATGCGTTTTCAGGGTTTGATTTATGAGCATTCTCAATTTTCTTACTCTTTGTAATCAGTGACACAGTGATTGCCTTATTTTGTCCAAAGTAAAAGCATTTCAAATCTTAAAATCTTTTTTTTGTTTTGCTAATCATTAAATGCTCTGCTGGAACAAATTATTTGTTTTTAGCTCATTATCAGACTACACAAACCAGCATCACTGGGAAAACTAATTACATCAGTACAATCGTCCCATAGGATTCAGATGCGTTATAAAAGGTGAGAATTCAAGACAGAATTCATGAAAGAAGTCATCTTGTAGCTTTCTAACCTTGAAATATTTAAGTGGTCTTCTCTTGACCCTTCACAGTCTAAATGATACAATGGGAGTATCTTGTGAGGAGATCAGAACATGTAAATAACCTGTAGAAGTACTTGAAATTACCTTGACAACAAAGTAGGAGGTTGAGATAGGTGCTTTAACTAAATGGTTCGTTCTAATTTTATGCAATGTAATTGTAGTGTTTGCAACTATTTAGTATCAGGGTGTCTTTGATTGTCAGTTCTATTGAGAATGACTGCAGAGAGCAACAGAACAGTCAGTGGGAGTCTTAGCCCATCAATTTCAAACAGTGAACATCCAATTTTAGCATGCAATAGGAAAGACAAATGGTATATTGGCCTTTATTTCAAAGGGAATGATATTTAAAAGTCGAGAATTTTCGCTAAATCTAGACAAGGCACTCGTCAGCCCACTGCTGGAATTGTTGAGAACAGTTTTGGGCCCCTTATCTGAAGAAAGATGTATCGTCATTGGAGGTTTTTCTGATGAAGGGTCTAGGCCCGAAACGTCAGCCTCTCTGCTCCTATGATGCTGCTTGGCCTGCTGTGCTCATCCAGCCCTGCACCTTGTTGTATCATCATTGGAGGCTGTGAAAAGAAGGTTCACTACCCTGATACCAACTATGAAGAGAAAGACATGAGGAGATGTTGAATAGATTGGGCCTGCATTCGTTGGAATATAGAAGAATGTGCGGAGCCCTTGATGAAAAATACACGATTCTGTGAGGACATGGTGGGGTAGTTGCACAAAGGTTGTTTCCCCTTGTGGTACAGTCTAGCACTAGAAGGCGTAATCTCATGATAAGAGGTCATATATTTACGACAGAAATGAAGAAGAATGTCTTCTCTGAGAGGATAGTAAATCTATGGAATTTTTTATCATACAGAGCTGCCAAGGCTGGGTCATTAAGTATATTCAAGGCTGACGTAGACCAATTTTCAGTGAGTTCTGGAATTAAGGATTATGAGGAAGAGTGACACTGAGAATTATCAAGTCAGCTGTTACCACATTGAATGGTGAAACATATTTGATGGGCTAAATGTCTTAATTCTGCTCCCATGTATTTTAGTCTGAATTTGTTTAATTGGTTTAGAAAATCACCTCAGTCTTTTGGAATAAAGCTAATTGTGAATTTCTAAAGATCACCTGCCATCACTTTAACGAATCTTAAATTTTGAAGTGGTCTCGCTTTTGCACTGTTACCAAATCACCTTTGGAATTATTCATTAAAGATATTGATTGATTTACACTTGCTTAGGTATGTCTGAGAAGAATTTTATTCAATCTAATGGTATGGCCTTTCTGGGCAAATATCACCTTAGGATTTTTGTGCCTCTGGCATGTCACTTCCATGATTGAGAAACGTTTTCCCAATTTGGATGAAAAGTGGACTCAAATGATATTAGCTTTTAAAAATTGAATATTTCTTGTTATTATTCTAAGATTTAGATGTTTGAGAAATGGTGTCAGGACTAAATTAATATTGGATATAATTTAGATGAAAAGTGGACTCAAATTACATGAGCTGTTTTTTTTTAAATTGAATGTGATTACTTTGATTCTAAGTGCTGCCCATTTTAGATACTGGAAAAATGTTGTCAGGACTAAATTAGTATTGCATTGTACTTATATTATGGAGATTTAGTAACCTCAAAATTCCTCATCTAACTTCAACCTTAATTTTAATTTTGCAGAATTAATCAAATTTCGTGTACGTAAGAGAAGGTTGGTGCATTGCGTTTTAGCACTGCTGTTTTTAGTCTTCTGTAAGGGGCTCAGTTCTGCAAAGTATAATTGGATAAAGTTCCTATCTCTCCTTTTTCTGTTGAAGGTCAGATGCTACATTTAATAGATTACAGCCTTGAGAGCGCAATGGATTCTAAACTAGTGACCAGAAATGTACAATGTTCAAATCAACTAGTCTTACTGTCAGAATCTCCTAAATAGTAAGTTTTTGTTCAACAGTTGTCGGTGTGCAATCATTTAATTTTTTGATAATATTTAAAATTAAGTTTGAATGAATATGACACCTACAATCAATGCTCTCTAAAAAAATAAGAATGATTAATTTCAAAATATTGAATTCATGTAAAACACTTTTTGACAACTACTACTGCCATAAGAGCATATGATGTAAGAGCATAAGGACGCAGTGCAGTCAATCAAGTCTGCTCCACCATTCAATGAGATTATGGCTGATCTGATAACCTTGAATGCTGCTTTCCAGTCTTTTTCTCTATGATCCTTGATTTTTTTTATTGATCAAAAATCTATTTATCTCAGCGCTGAGTATATTTAATGATCCAACTTTGACAGGCAGCTGAGTTAAAGAATTCCACAGAGTCACTAGTTTCTGAGGAAAGAAATTCCTCCTTATCTCTGTCTTAAACGTGTGAACCTTTACACTGAGATTATGCCCTCTTCTCTTAAACTCTACTATAAGTGTAAACAACCTCTCTGCATCTACTCTGTTAAGTCCCTTAAATATCTTGCTGGTTTCAATCGGTTCGCCTCTCATTCCTCTAATTTCCATGGAATATAGGCCCAAACTACACAACCTGTCCTCTTAAGACAATTGCTCCACACCTGGTGCTAGCTAAGTGAACGTTCTCTAGACTCCCTCAAATGCTAGTACATCTTTTCTAAATAAGGCACAGTCAAACTGCCCACAGTATATCAGCTGGTTTTTCACCAGTACCTTGTATAGTTTCAGCAAAACCTCCCTACATTTATTCTTTCTCTTTGAAATAATGGCCAACATTTCATTTTCCTCCGATATTTCCTGTTGATTTGGATGCTAGTATTTTGTACTTCATGTATGAGGACACATAAATCCCTCTTGTCTGTAGCTTTCTGCTGTCTTACCAAATGTAAATAATATTCAGCTCTTCTACTGTTCCTACCAAAATGCATTATCTCATATTTTCCCATAATATATTCCCTCTGCCAATTACTTTGCGCTGCTGCTTAACTTGTGTATATATCACCACAGGCTCTTTGTTTTCTCCCATCACTTCCCTTCCCATTTATATTTGTGTCATTTGCAAAGCTGGCTATAGCACATTCACTTTCCATATATATAGTAAATAATTGTGGCCTCAGCACTGATTCCTGTGGCACACAATGAGTTACAGTTTGTATTCTTGAAATCTACATCATTACCTGATCAGTTTAGCATCATGTGACGCCAAAAATATGCTGTTGTAAGTTCATAGCAGCTGCCAGCTGAGACCACGTTATCTAGCAAGTAATCACTGGTTTCCAGTACCTGTGTGCAATTGGTAGTCTACCAGCCATGAAAGTGTTCTGTGCTTTCACAGGTATGTGGCTGCACGGAAATCTCCATTGTAGTTACATGTAATTGTTCAGTCTGGGAAAGAATACAACAATTCTCTTAAATTCAAGCAAACTTCCTTATTTTAGAAAGTGCCAACAGGCAAATAGGACTTGAAGAACACAATTTAAACTTAGCCAGACAGCATAATAAGTTACAGAAAATTGTAAAGGAAAGTTGATAGTTCTTACGGGAGAGCATTGCAGACGATACTGTGAACAGAAATTAGAAATATTGCGGAAAAGTAGAATGATGCATTTAAGATCTTACATTTTATCCTGCTCATTTCAACACATAAACATTGTCAGAAATATATCTAGAAATCCAAAGCAGTTTCATTAATAATGTTGCGTTATTGCAAGTGCCTCACCTCGTTATTTAATGGTATGCTTTGATTTTCAGAATTAATCTTTGTCGTACCTTCTTTCCTAATAGACATATTCTGGAAATAATACTTGTCTGTAGATGACCTAGATGGTCTTGAGGGTGTGAAGTCTCTCTTTGTTGACTGCAATGTTGAACATGTCTCATAGCGGAATCTTTGAGAAAGTGGATCACCACCAAATACTTCAACATAGTTCGGGGGTATTTGGAGTTCTTGGCTGGCTTTTTGAAGTCCATTCAAAGAATGTCTCGATTCAAGACAACAACACGCCATCAGGGAACATTGCTGACGAATTGAAGCATTTCTGTTTTTACGAACCATCACGGCGAGGAATATTAAAATCACGAGAAAAATGATAGAAATAGCACCTAATGCAATGACCAAGGAAAAGCTCAAATCATGAGTGAACACGGGTTCTTCAGCCAAATCACTGGCACTGGAGAATGTTTCAGTGTCACTGCCTATCACAGATAAGATTATTGTTATTGTGGCAGAAAGTGATGGTGTTCCATTATCTTTTACTACAATCATCAAACTTTGCTTATTTGCATCTTTATTCTCAATATGACGTATAGTCCAAATCTCCCCAGTGTCTGGGGAAATAGTAAAAAGGTTATGATTGGATGATTGGAAAATCGAATAAGAAAGCTGAGCGTTTTGTCCAACGTCAGCGTCAGTGGCCGATACTTTAGCAATCAAAGAACCTGGTTCTACAAGTCTGGATATTGTCTCTATGGCTGTTGCCCCAAACTCGGCTTTTGGCTGCACAATGACTGGAACATTGTCGTTCTGATCAAGGATAATAACTTTCACTGAAACATTACTTGCGAGTGATGGCGATCCAGAGTCCACGACCTGAGCTTGGAACAGAAAGTTTTTCAATTCCTCGTAATCAAAAGTTCGCTGAGCGAATAGGACACCAGTTTCCGAGTCAATCGAGATGTATGTATTTATGGGGACGTTGTGAACTTGAGTCTCCAGGATACAATACTTCAGCAGAGCATTTAGTCCAACATCTGGATCAAAAGCTGTAATGGAAAATATAGAAGCGCCAATCGCATTGTTTTCCATGACGTTTGCGGTATATGATGACTGAGTGAACCGTGGGGCATTGTCATTTATATCCGAAACGTCGACTCGAACGGTTTTTTCTGATATAAGTGGAGGATTTCCTGCATCCGAGCATGTGATACTAACATCATACAACGAGGTATTTTCACGATCCAGTGGATTTTGAACAAGTATTCCATAATAATTCTCCAAAGAGGAGTCTAGCTTAAATGGCAGTTTATTTGAAATTTGACATTGTACCTGTCCATATCTCCCCGAATCTTTATCTGTTGCTCTGAACAGAGCGACTAGAGTCCCAATTGGCGCATCTTCCGATACTGCAGTCGACAAAGACGTCAAAGTCACCTCAGGGGGATTATCATTCACGTCAATAATATTCACAAAAACTACACAGTGCCCGGACATTGCCTCTGAACCCCTGTCTACTGCCTGTACGGTAATCTCAAAGACCTTGTTTGCTTCATAGTCCAACTTCCCTATCACTCTGATTTCACCAGTTTTGGAATCTATGCCAAAGAGTTCCCGAGCTGTGATTGACGTGTGGCTACCAAGCGAGTAGATTATCTCTCCATTTGGACCATCGTCCAAGTCAGCGGCATTTAATATGATTACCTGTGTTCCTGTGGCTAAATTCTCAAATATGTTGACTCCATATTCTGACTCGGGAAAGACCGGGGCGTTGTCGTTTGCATCCTTTACGATAATTGAGATCTGCGACACGCCCGATCGCACAGGGACCCCGCCGTCCTTGGCTATCAGCGTTAGACTGTGGCTGGATTCGGTTTCTCTATCCAAGGAACTCTGCAACACCAATACTGGCATCTTTTCTTCGCCGCTGCGCACATCCAGAATAAAATAATTATTCGGATGGAGCTCGTAGGTTTGCACGGCGTTAGTTCCAATATCAGAGTCGTATGCGGATTCAAGGGGAAAACGCGATCCCGGTGTGGAAAGCTCCGAAATTTCAATGCGGAATTGTCTCTTTGTGAAAATGGGAGCATTGTCATTTACATCGACGATCTCTACGGCAATCGGGTACAGCTTTAAGGGGTTTTGAAGCAAACCGTCCAACGATAAAACACAACTCAGGCTCAGGCCACAAATCTCTTCTCTGTCAATTCTATCCTTTACAAGTAAAATTCCAGTGTCTAAATTTACGTCCAAGTATTGTTTCCTGGGCCTGGATACAATCCGAAAACTACGAATTGAGAGCTGCTTTACATCTAAATCCAAATCCTCGGCGATGTCCCCAACAAAGGAACCCAGCTGCAGTTCTTCGGGAATTGAGTAACGAATCAGCCCAAGCACTGGATTCCACATGTTCAATGCACAGTAGAATAATTGGCATTTTAGCAACCAGTATGTTTTATATCTCATTTCTAGCGGTAAAGATTCCCTTTGTTTCAGAACGTGCCTTCACCATGTAAAACGTCAAAAACAAAACTGCGATGTAGCAAGTACCTGACTGCTTCATAAATCTCTCGGAAATATCGTATTTAAATCTTCTACGTTTCTTCAAAATTTCCATTAGATTCCTGAATAAACCCGACGGAGATGTTCGCGATCCAAATTTGCTCTATGTTTGATCGGACGTGGTGGTGTCTGAGTACTACAAGGGACTGTCCGGATCTCCAGCCACATCTCAGCTTCTAATTGGTGAACACCAGAACGTTGAAATTCGACCAATCAAAATAATGTTCACTTCTTAAAGCTGAAAAGTCTGGAATGACTGCAGATACCAACGTTTATTGTTGTACAATTAAAAATTATGTTAACATGCATTTTACAACTCTGTACTGGCTTTCCCTGTTCCCAAATTTATAGCTAGAACTGAATTGTATCAGAAATTGTAAGATACGGGTTGCAGCATATGTGACAGTCGAAATAAAAGCAAAATCTAAGGATAAGACATAAGCCAATGATTCCTCATATAATCCATTTCAGACAATTATGATATGATCTTCCGTCTTTAACTTGTTGTAATTCTCACTTAAGTAAACTAGATTATGCCATCCTTCTTTTACACACTTCTATGATCTAAACAATAAGATTACCATAATGAAGTTCTCATAAACTCTCACTTCTCTTCTAGACATCCAGATCACCATGTAAGGTGCTGTAGAAATTCAGCAGAGAGTGAAACAAAGTCAAAGTTTCAAATTGATATGAATTCCTCAGAAGAGCAAGTTTCAAAGAAGAATCATATCAGACTTAAAATATTAACTTTTCTTTTTTCCGAAAATGCAGCGGGAATGGCTAAGTTCGTTTAGTATTTCCTGTTGTTATTTGAGCTATCCAGCATCTACAGTACTTTGTGTTTATCCTTGTAACTATTTTTCAGTTATTTGATGTGTAGTAAATTTCATAGTCTACAATAACCTGCGAAGAAAATGGTCTAATCACCAACCTTGCATCAATACTGAGAGTTTCATGTTGAACCATCAATCCCTCCACAAGCCTTGCACTCAGTTCCAAGTTAAATTGTTACACTCTCACTATTATCTACAGCACTTAATATTTTGCAGGCACACATATATGAGCCAGTCTTTTCTGAAGTAAATCACGCATTTATTTCCTTCAAACACGTGAAAGAAATAATCCCAAAGGGCTAAAATCATTAGGACCACTTGTCCAAGTTCAGAAGACAGAGAAATTTGTTTTGGTTAATGTGAAAGGTAATAAAGGTCATAACAAAAATCTGCATTATGTGAGCATTTTAAATAGTCATGAGTCAAAACTATTAACTTTTAGATTAGTTCATATTTTCAAGTGCTACATCACACAACTTTGGTTTGCTGAAATACATTCATTCTTTGAACTCTGATTTCGCTCAAAGATACTGCCATACCCTTTGACTTTTTCAAGCAATTTCTGTTTTTGTTTCATTCTTTGACCTGTGAAGTTCTCTTTTCTCTTACGGTATGTTACTGATTATGCACGTATATGCTTATATTTCCTGCAAATTAAATATTTTTTCTTACCTACAACCAATTTCGAAGACTGTTAAATGTCACTGAAAATAATGCCATAAATCAGACAACAACAAGTTATAGTCTGACAGATTTACTTGGAATCACAAGCTTTCTGAGCATTGCCCTTTCTTTGGGTGAAGTACAAAAGAAGCACACAGGTCAATGAGCAGAGAGATCCAAAGATCATAGTGTACGTGGAGTGTCGAAAGGCTGAATAATATAGCATTTTTTTTTCGTAATTATCTCTCTGCCTCATTTAATTGAATTATCAGTCATCATTTCACTTGTTATTCAGCTGTTGACACTTTACTCACACCGTCTGACATTCTTTATCACCTGCAGACACCTATTATTTGGCCTGTCGACACTCCACTCACACAATTTGTATGATCGTTTGATCTCTCTGCCCATTGATCTTTATAACTATAAATTCCGTGCCTGTGTGTTTTCCTCTCACTCAACTGATGAATGGGCAGCGCTTCAAAAGCTTGTGATTTCAAATAAACCTGTTGGATGATGACCTGGGGTGCCATCTAATTTCAGACCTTGTCCACCCCAGTCCAACACTGGCACCTCCACATCACTGAAAATAATAAACGTTTCTTCACCTCACTATCTGAGCACGCAAATCTGCATTGCTTGTAAAAAATAAGTACGCGAGCACAATAAAACCCAAAGATTCAGAAACGTTGTTAAAGGTAGGGATTCAAGTTAAAATATCTGACAGGAGGAAGTCTGCTTTTTATTCTATGCACTGTAAGTGACATTACTCACTTATGAGCAGTTCTGCCTTTACAAATAATCAGCGCACGTACGACCATTTTCCTGATAACAGAATACGGGGTTGAGACAGATACTGTAAAACAAATCATTAATTCCCAGATGATGCAGTTGCATCAAAATTTTATCAGGAACTAATATTTTTCTAGGGCCCATTGTAATCAGTAGTAATCAAAATCCAGAATAGGATGCTGATATATTTCATTTCATCGCTATCCCTTTTGTTTACTCTAATGCAGGGGCTCGATTCTGTTCAAAATAATTGAATGAAATTGTTATCTCCCTTTTTTTTCTCTCTATTTTCAGACACCCAGTGCTTACTTTCAGAACAGAAAGTCATCTGTGGAACTGACTGGAGAAGGACGGTTGTTATTTCACCTGATCATCAAAAATAGGAGCAGAAATAAGTCATTTTATTCTTCGAGGCTGCTGCACTATTCAACATGGTCAGGAATGATATCTGACTTAGGATCTCGTTCCAGCTTTCTCCCCATACCTTTTGACCCTTTTAGCCCTGAAAAGTATATCTCACTTGCTGAAATTATTTCATGCTTTAGCCTCAACCACTTCACGTGTAAAGCCTTCCACTGGTTGACCAGTTCCTGGGTGACAACCTGTCACCTCAGTTGTGTCCAAAATGGCCTACCCCTTATCTTTAAAATGTAAGCCCCGGTTCTGAATTGCCCAGTTTATTGGGAATATCCTTCCTGCATTTACATGGTCCACTTCTATTTGAATTTTATAGGTTTTCTAGAGATTACTCATCATTTTACTAATATCCATGAATATAGCCTTAACCAATCCAATCTGTGTTCATAGGCCAGTTCTGCCATCCCACGAATCAGTCTGGTTAAAGTTTTGTTGCACTCCTTCCATGACCTAAGATAGGAAGACCAAAACAACACATAGTACTCCAAGGCTGTTCTTACAAGATCCTGCACAATTGCAGCAAGACATATTGTATTTAAGGGTGGGGTTGGGGGAAGGGGGAGATGCACAGATTTTAAGTTATTAATGTGTTAACGATTATGGGGAATAGGGAGGAAAGTGGAGTCGAAATATGACCTGCCATGTAATTGCATTAAGTTTTGGAGCAGGCTCGACGGGCTTTCTTGCCTGCTCCTGCTCCTAGTCCTAATGTTCAAATTCCAGTTCTTGTACTTGCATTTTTGTGCCATAAGACCAAAATTTGCCTTCTTCACCAAGTGCTGCCCAGGTTTTCTTTTCTGTTATTTAAATTTCCGTCATAAGAAGCAAAAACCTTGACCCTGCTTACTTAGAAAGGATACAAAATGATTTTTTTGAAAAATTGAATTGACTTAGGTTTTTCTCCAGTTTAAGTAAATCCTGATCATACAGGATTATCTAATCAATTTACAATGATAGGACTGTTAGGGACATGCTGACATTAATTATTCAGAATGTCAAAGCTGAGACGGTAACAAATAGGAACTATCAAACTGTTTTACAGAACCTGTATATAATTGCTTTCCAGTGTCCAGGAAAATGTTCCATTCATGCTCTGATATGTGGCTGCGCAGGATTCTCCATAGGCTAATCCAATTAAATGTTTAGTTTGAGACAAAATCAAAAATTCTGGCTGATTCAAATCAAATCTGTGGATTCAGTAAGTGTCAACAGCAAACAGGAATTCCAAAACAAAACGTAAACTCAAATCACCAATAAACAGGAAATATAAATGCATCCTACATAATACCATTACAGGTCACTGTTATTAGCAAGAAGTAGACGGGAGTAGAGAGGTGTTAGTAACGCATTAAAGCTATTATTTCTATTCTGTTTCTCTCAACACCCACATACTTTGTCCAAATAGATCCTTACCAGCAGATCGCATCTGTAATCATTTCATCTTTTTGAAAGCTCCTCAGAGCTACTGTCACATTCAGAATTAATAATTCTCATGTTTTATTTCCCACTAGAATCATTCTGCACATAATTCATGTCTGTCGATAACTGAAAGGCATTGTGAGTTTTGAAGTCACTCTTGGTTGACTGAAATGTTAAAATATGACGCATAAATGACGAAAGGGATTTCTCCCGAACACTTCAACATAGTTTGGGAGTATCTGGAGGTTTCTACTGGTATTTTGAATTCCATTCAGAGAATGCCTTGTTTTAACGCAACAACACTCTCCCGAGGAACAGTGCTGACCGTCCAAAACATTCCTGCTTTTATGAACCTTCACAGTGACGATTATTAAAACAACAAGAAAAATCATAGAATTTGTTCCGAATGCAATGACCAAGGGAAGGCTTAGATCCAGAGTGAATCGGGGATCTTCAGGCGAGCCACTGACACTGAAGAATGTTTCAGTGTCATCGCTAGCCACAGATAAGATGATGGTTACGGAGGCAGAAAATAATGGCATTCCATTATCTTTCACCAGAATCAATAATCTTTGTTTAGAAATATTTTATTCACAAAACGACGGATTGTCCGAATTTCCCCAGTTTCTGATGAAATAGTAAAATGGTTATGCCGGGTGGTCTGAAAAATCGAATAAGAAACACAAGCGTTCTGACCGGCGTCAGCGTCAGTGGCGGATACCTTGGCAACCAAATAGCCTGGTACTGCAAATCTGTATATTGCCTCTACCGCTGTTG